TCTTCCCTAGGGAATAAGAGAGGAAGAGAGAATATTTCCAGGTTGTGAAGTGTTTAGGACACTTTATTTAATATGTAGCTACCTATGGCCAGTTTTAATGCTATTTTAAGCTTGCTTCATCTTTTTTTCCAGTCTCTGCAATGATTTCATATAGGCTCTGACATCAATCTATCACCAGACTGTATATATTTGATTATTAATATCAAAATACCAACACATATATAGCATAAATAAATCTCTTTTTTTAAATTTAAGTACAGGTAGGATTCAGTCAGTTGCCTGGACTATTTCAGATGTTCTGAATAATGCCACTTGGCCTTCCTTATTACCTATGTTGCTGGGGAAAATAAGCGTGAAGGAAGCAGCAAGGTTTGGAATCTCCGGAGAGACCACTTTTGCAAGTGGGATTGGAATAAGAGAGGGAGGAAAGGGGAGGCAAAATGCACACAGAAATAGACTCAGCTGGAAGAGCTGTTGGGCCTCTGAGTCAGAACAGAACTGCCAAAACTAGCTATAGGAACAGAAGCTGCCCAAGTTCATTAACACTCTTACCATTTAGTCCTTGCTATGTGATTCATGGAATCCACAGAGGGTTCAATTGTCCGCACAGACTCCTATAAAAATGGATGCATTTGGGGTTTTTTTGGGGGGGGGGTCTGCAAAGGAAGAGTATTTATGGGATTGCCCCTCTCGCCTGCCCTGACTTTCCCATTTTTATCCTCAGGCAGCCTCAGGCAGCTTGCCTAAATCTGAAAATGCAATACAGATGTTGAAAACATAAAGGCCTGTGTGTTTGCCAGGGTTTTCCTACAAAGCAAAACAGAATCCCATCGCCCTACCCTTTCCTCTCTCTGTGTGTGCATTTGGGTCAGGTTGTCTGTTTTTCTATAGCCAAATGAAGTTCTCCCACACAATCAGATCAACTTACAAATAAGCTCTGAGTTCTTACTGCCCTAGGGATTGCAGGATAGTTCGGGAACCAATAAGTCCTAATGGTAATGCACATATTAAGAGGCTTGATTGATGGAAGGACTAAGTCCCAACCATATCATTCTATAGCCGGGTGTCCTATAGCTCCCTCCAACACCCTGGATTTATGGAACTGCAATCTGACTGCAGAGTGGATGGCTTTTGGTGGCACAGTTTGTGTTGATTCTTCCTCCCTTGTATTTAAGGGTGGAAATGGGAATAAATCTGTAGGAGGCAAATGAAAATGACTTTTCAGCTATAAGCCTATCCCCAAGACTCTCAGATAACCTGAAAACTGCCTGCTGAAATCTTGCCATTTTGCTATGGTGTCAATGGGGTGATTTTACAAATGGAGGCAAGGGTGGGAGTTGGGGATCTTTAATAGTAGAAATGTTCCCCAGTGGTTATATCTGCTCCCATATGCACAGTTAAAAATCTACCTCCCTCCATTAGATAGTCTCACCCCAATCACCTCACTTCCTTCTCATGACTGGCTTCTTCAGCTATCCCAGGTCTAAGAGATCCAGGTCTAGGTTTAAAAAACTTTTAATCTCTGGTTTATTAGGTCCAGGCTCTTTATGCCCTAAAATTCAAAATGTTCATGGGAGCTACATTACAGAGGCATCAGTCTCTTCAAGTTTCCCTTGCCTTCCTTTGAAATTAACCCACAGTCATTTCTTTTTACTTCTCTTTCATTTAATTTTATGCTTTTCACCCTGTACACCAAATTGCAATCCTTCCCCCATGGAACCTTCTGGAGATGTTGGGCTGCAATTCCAATCATGAACCATCCTGGCTGGGGCAACTGTGACAGTGCTGAATCCTTTTCCATTGAAAACAAATTCCTTAGCTGAATTCCTTAGCCAGTTTATTTAGGATGGGGGAAAAAAGACCAGCACTGGAAAAATTCTTTTACATATGTAAAATGTGGGAGGAAGAGCTGTGAGTGAAAACAAAAGGCATTTTCAAGTAAAAGGGAAATAAGAAATTCATTTTACACATGGGAGAAAAGAAGCTATCCATTTTTACCCTGAGCACCCTAAAAAATATTTTGGAGATACCCATTCCAAGAATGCTCTGGAGGTACAACATAAAAGAAGATATACACTTATTTATACATGTAATGTACTGATGTTGCTGAGCTATTTTCAATGGTAGTCCAAGTACAAATTCAAATGGATCTCCTTAAAAATAAAACTGTAGAGTTTATATATAAGCTGTTGCTCATTTCAGTTCCACGATAAATTTTGTGAAAGGCTTGGTTTATTTTTATTATAATTGTTAAATATATATCAATAAGTTAAGTGGGCCTCTTCATTTCTTTTATATTGCAGGGAGGAACTTGGCAATGCAAAGGGCTCAAATAGCCAAGTCTTTTTCCATAGTTTTAGTATGTTACAGGTTAAAATGAGTTGTTTGTTCTTAGAGGTGAAACTCCTGCCTATAAAAGCTCTTATTTATCTCCAGTTTACTCTATTTTAAAAAAAATATTGATTCACCACTATATTTCAGTAAGTTACAGTTATAAAACACATATGTTCTCTTCTCCCATGTATGTCTTTATATGAAAGATAATAAGAAAGATAGCAAATAGTAGAAAAAGAAACAAACATGCTATCCATTGAATGAATAATTTTTAATTGCAACATAATTCTTTTGCACAATGGCACCAGTATTCATAATGAAAACATAAGGAAACATAGGTAAAGGCCTGGCTTCACATTTTTCTTTCATCTGTAAGTGGTGGGAAACTCCTTCAAGAAGCCAAAAAATTAAATCTTTTACTGTTGAAAGTTACTGTTATAAAGTCATTTGATTTGAGATCCATAAAAGCATGCTGATGTTTATAACAAGAAGCAATATCCAGATACTTAAGATTTTTATCCCATCGCCCTTTTGTGCTAAATAATGAATTTATAACTATATCCAGTTTTATCTGAAAACTGAATTATTGCTTGGGATTCCAAGCGGTATTCCATAGCTAAAGGCTTCAATATGCATCCTACTTTACTGGAAGACCACAATCAAGCAATAGATTTAGATGCACATTAACATTTACATCACTTGTCTGCCTAGAAGCCTACTTCTGCATTTGGATTTATTGTGATGGGATAAGAACATACATAGCTGTGTAATATTGATTAAGCCAACTGACATAGTTATGTTATACTTTTTGGTACAGCTGAGAACCTATGACAGCAATTGTGTAAAAAATCCAATGCATCAAGATATAAATCAATAATGTTTTGTGACAGTAGCAATAGCAAAAAGAAAAAGAAAGTTGTGTTAAAAAAGGAGGTTACACAAACCTTATGGTCAATTTAGAACATACTCCCAAAAAAGGAGGTTACACAAACCTTATGGTCAATTTAGAACATACTCCCAAACACTAAGCAATGAATTCATTTGACTGAATCACAATGAATTCATTAAATAGGATAATCACCACTTGCAACTTATAGAATTCCATTGCAGGGGGATTGGAAGTATCATCTCATTGAGGAAAAAATATGGCTGAAATCTGCATGATTTACATAGGATAGAATATCAATTCTTTTACTGATGCAAAATTTGGGGTATCTTATGGATTTTCTTTATCCGAGACACACAGACCTTTGATAAGGAAAGAATAGTACGTATCCATGTTAAAGTCTAACAAGGCTTATATAACTTTCACAGCAATATCTAAAACTTTTCAAGGCTTTTATTGATTCCAATGAATATAATCAACTATGTAGTTGTATCTTTACAATTACAGATAATACAAAATAGCATCTGAAGACTTCTATTATGGAGATCTTACAGATTCTGGTGAAGACATGAAGACATCCACCTCACCTGTCCTATCAAGTGACATGTAGGGCATTTACAAATTATATTTGTACCACTGCCATTTTACCCTTAACAGGGAAATCCACTTCAGCTCAGCAAATGCCATCTCAAAAATTATAACCTATCATTACTTTGTGATTCAAGAGATGGCCTCTGGCCTCTGGAAAGCCCTATTGGTGGGGCTTTCTGACTTGCCTCTAGCTCAGGGCTGCCATTGTCACTACATGGTTGTGTGATGAGGAAAAGAGGTGGGAATGCAAAGTTCTGATTTGTCAGCATTTAAAATCATGAGAGTTTCTAAGAAAGGATGCATTTATTTGTTTCTTTTTTAAAAAATAATTGACCTCCTCATTGCATAACTTCCTTTCAAGCTATTGGTGTTTTTTTTTTAAAGAGACATGGACATTTGTTCACAAAAAGATGACTGGAACAGAGTAGAGTGGAATATCACCAATTTCTTTTCAATGTAGCAAAAACACAAAAGAAAGTTAGTTCAGGGACAGACTCAGCAGAACTTGAGGTAGAGGAACAAGGGACCCAATTTGGGGCCAGGTAACAGATAATCAGAGTTGGAAGGGACCTTATAGGTCATCTAGTCCAACCCCTCAGCCAAGTGGGAGACCCTATACCATTTCTGACAAATGGCAGCCCAATCTCTTCTTGAAAGTCTCAAGTGGTGAGTCTAGAATTACAGCAGGAAAGCTCCGGCTGCCCGACAATTATGCTCAGCTATTGGTCACAAAATAGCTAAAGCACAAAAAACGGCATCTTGATATTCAAGATCTGCAAACAGTTACAACAGCCCATGCTACATTTGAGTTTTGGATTTGGTGAAGAAGAATTGGGAGGTCAAAAGCCTGGCCATTTGCAAGACCACAGTTGACGCTCATATACCTGTTCACACACATACAGGCTCCTTCAGGTAAAATAAAATAAAATAAGTCTAAATAATGTAATGAAAGAAATGTCTTTTGAGGAAAAAAAAGTAAACATAATCAATAAGATGGTCCTGAAGGCTAATTTTACAATGAATATTATGTGTAATAGATAGCTTCAGAAGAGGAACATAACATGATTTGGAGATTTCATTTAGAGCACAGCAAAGTTTATTTCAGTTAATGGCTCTAGAATTTGAGCATAAAAGATATGCAGGTCTTTTTTGGTTTTTGTTTTAAAAAAACAACTTAAAAATGACTTACCTTGACTATGCCACGGATGTGCATTTTTGCTATCATCTCTGCCGTGTAGAGAAACATCAGCAACGTATCAAGAGCAAATGTCACATACTGTAGGGGAGGATAATGCTCAAAGGTCTTTGGGGTATTCATGCACACCGAAATGACACTGATAATGGCACAGATGCGCAGCAAAGAATGCACCCACTGAGGAATAAAAAAAATCAATAAAGTTTTATCAACTTGTACAACTATTCTTTTCAACTACTATTAAACAAGTACTACACTCCTCTGCTCGCAACAGAATGCCCTACATCACCAGGCTTGAAATTTTGGGCTTGGACAACCATGAACTATGCTTGTTGCTTCAACGGCAACAATACAAGAGCGCACAACAGTTACAAACTCAATGTAAACTGCTCCAAACTTGATTGCAGAATGCCTGGAATGCACTACCTGACTCTGCTATTACATCCTCTAACCCCCACTCCTTTAACCTTAAACTATCCACTATTGAGCTCACCCCATTCCTAAGAGATCTACAAGGGATGTGCATAAGTGCACCATCATGCCTACCGTCCCTGTCCTATTGTCCCCATTGTCCTCATGTTTATACATATCTATTATCTTGTAAGCGATTGACAAATCAAACAAATAAATAAAATAAATTATAACATATGCTCTTAGGGGAATTGCTCATTTTGGGCCTCTAGCACTTTTTTTTCCCTTTTGTGTATTTTGCTAAGTTCCACTTACATAAAGGATACCATGTAGGTGAGACAGTTTTTCCCTTTCCTTTTGCACAAAGTTTAGAACAATTTGGACTGCAGTGGCTCGGCACAATCAGCATTTCATTCCATTTTTCATTTGTTTAAAGCCTTGAAATTGCTGCGTGCTTGCCCAGCATCATGACTCTCAGTCCAGGCAAATTTTGGGCCCTCTAATAAAAATGCAAATGTTTTTTTTTTAAACCATTTAATTGTATTTTTTCTGTTTTTTGAACAGTTGTATTATTTGATTTTCTTTTTAAAACAATCCTGTTAAATATGGTGTAGGTAGCATGGGGCTAGAATATTTCCATGTTCCCTGTTGGCTTCCTTATTGTCACTAGTGAATTTCATAGTGAGCTTGTATACTTGATTTTCCCTTTTAATGGAATAAGACACTTCTGTTTTAACAGAAAGCTTCACTACTTCTCAAAACTCCGACTCGTTTTAATTTTTTTCAGATTAATTTTTAAATTTAACACAGTACTTTTGTCCTGTTAAATTGGATTTATGCAAAGAACATATAAAAAAGGAAAGGAACTGAAACATAAAAATAAAAAAAATAAACAGTAAATAATAGAATTGAATTGGACATTGAAGGGATGTGGATAGGATGGTTTATTTATGCCAAAATTGGAAAAGTTCAAAAAGCAATTCACGAAGGACTTGTTTAGACCTATAAAAGACAAGGCTAAAGTCAATCCCTAACCCTTCTTCTTCAGTTCTTTTTATATATTAATTTCCTTAGATATACAGTAGTTCTAAAAGAAACTTATATCATTTATAACATATGTGTGTATGTACGTATGTATATTTAAGATCCCATAAGATAATATTATACACACACTGTATGCAACTGCATTATACATCTTTTTCTTCATTTAGTCATCATTTAATATTGATTCATTCTGTCATATTATGGATTAGAAACTGTTATTTAGCTGTTCCCAATAATAAAGTATCTTTTGAAAATCCACTGAATTCAAGAAACAGAAATGTAAGCACATACTTTTGTTTATCCATCGAGAGAAATTTAAGTAGATAATTTCCATTGATTGTAGCAACATCAGTGGAACTTAACAATGCTTAATTACAGCTTAATCATATCCCAAAGGTAAGAAAGTTAAGGTAGTATATCATACTTACTGGTTTGTTAATCCACAGGATATCTGCGTTGTCTGATAAGGATTCATCAGGACCAAAATCTGTTACAGGCTGGGCTTCTACCCTAGAACTCTGTTTCCTTTTCAGCATACTGAAATTAGCTTTGTTTATATAAAACTGTGAAATGTCCTAAAAAAAAGAAAGGGAGAAAATCATGCTGTAATCTGCCTGACAAGATTAAAGATTACTGCATTTGTCCAGATCCCTGACGTATAAATTATGGAAATAAACACAGAAACAAGGCCGTTACAGATTTGACTTCACTAGATTAGGCAAAGTACATGGCAGCCAATTTATTTTGCATTATCCCTGTCTTTTTTCTTCATTTAGTCATCATTTAGTAGTGATTCATTCTGTCATATTATGGATTAGAAACCCTTATTTAGTTCTTCACGCTAACAAAAAAGAAAAATAGGTAGGAACAATTTGTTACCAGAAGTTTGTATCTCACTCCTTTTAAGAAATCTAAATTCTTAGTTTACGAATCCTAGATTACTCGGGGAGAAACAAAGAATACTTTGAACCTAAGTATGAACAACATGCTAAAGAAATCATTTATTGCTTTCCCATAATGGTTTCATTGGGAGTTGGTACAGATCTTTAAAAAGCTGTATTTATATGGATGCATGTTAAAAATAGACATGTACACAAGAGACACACATACAATCCAAATATTGCTGTGTTTTTCTATTTGATTACCAAAGGTGGCCACTGAGTAACTGTTTGCCACCACCACCAAAATTAAGTGGCAGATATTTTAAAGAATGGCTACACATGGCCCCAAATCTGCAAATTAAATGTGAGCAGACAGCTTATTCATAATAAGTCAGTATTTCCATCCAGCAGAGAGCTGCAATAGAAGATAATTGACGTTTCACGATGCTTTCTTTGCATCTCAGCTATGTCATTGTACAGTATTATTAATTATTGCTTTAACATTGATTATTCATGATTGCAGTTTATTTGAAAAGCTGAAGGAAAGAGGGATAGATTTGAGTAATATCTTTCGTTGCTTGTATATAAAATGTGTTGTACAAAAATATTAAAAGTGATTATCTTTGCTATATTTGGCTTATTCTGAGTATATTTTAGTTATTGCATAAAACATGAAGTATATTTTCACCTGTGTGTGAAAAAAATTATTGAATGAAAAGCATTTTACCCTTTAGCAAAAGTAAATAGTGCTGTGTTGAAAAATGCAAAACCATTTAGCCATATGCTACAGCAGTTTCCAATAGAAAACACCTGGATACAAGCTGAACTGAACTGGCTGACAATTCTGCTGATGTGCTCAGGAGAACAGAAATACCAAGAGATTTGGATTAGCAGGAATAGGTAGATTTGTTTAAGAAGTTTTACATGTTATAGAAATGAATGTGTGAAACTAGAAAAGACAGTAAAAATACTTCCAAATAACTGTGGTAAATATAAGTCTTCTTGTAGGAATACATAATGCTGATTAAGCTAAAAGTGAACCATACTACGCTGATATGAAGAAGGAACTAGCAAGAACTCAGTCTTTTTCTATAGATTTGACATCTAAAAAGTGTAAGCTTTCTAAATTGCTTCTTCCTTCATTTCTTTCATTTAAAACTGGAAAACTGTAGCAGAATCTTGGTTGACCGATGACCATTTTAAACCAACTTCTTTCTCACAGGTAGAATTATAGCTAGTAAATCCACATTAGACTGCAAGCCCCGTTTTGGACATAATCATATTAAATTATGATATACACTCAAAATGAGTGAGAGAAGAGGCAAGAAAAGAACACGAGGCATTCATTTTCCCCAAAATTTATGAAACTAGAAATTGGGTCCAAAACCTGACATAATATTTTGCTTTAATTTTAAATGTATGAGTGCTTAAAATCTGGAATGATTTTTACAACAGTCTTAAACAAGCATAAGTGTTTTCTTAAAAATTGGCCCTACATAACATGTATGCGTATAAACATAAACATATACCATATTTTACATTTTTCTGCAAACTTTTCAATTTAGCTATCTTCGGAAATAGTAGGCTCTTGGCACCTTAGAATTTCTACTCATGATAGCTGTGAACTTTGGAAATTATAAATTCAACCTATTAAAGAAAAATTAGTTGGAGAAGAATTTTTTAACTCATGCTGCAGAATTTTATTTTATTTTAGGTTGATGGTCTGTAATGTTCTGGTTCCCCCCTCCCTTTTTTTTTTGAAGATGGGAACCACATTAGCTCTTTTCCAATTCTCAGATAGTCCCCTGGTACTCCAGGGTCCTTGAAAGATGTGGTTCAATGGTTCTGAGATAACACCTGCCAGTTCCTTCAGAACTCTGGGATGGAATCCACCAGGTTCTGATGATTTGAAGTCGTCAAGGTCAGACAGATGTTCTCTTACCATTTTCTTGCTTAGTTTAAGTTTTATTTCTAGTCTGTATTTTATGGCTATGTTTTTGGTAGCTTAAGCTATAGTATCTTTTTACATGAAGATTGATGCAAAGAAGGAGTTAAGCAACTCTGCTTTCTCATGAGCATTTGATGCTACTTGTGGAAATATAAGTCAGAATTCCTACACTACTTGGCAGCAAACCTGACTGTTTACTTCATAGGACACAACAGAAAGTCATGGATTAGGCTGTATGATAGACAAAATTATTGATCAAGCTCTGTCTCTCCTGCTCTCTATATATTGCGGTATACATGTGCATATAAACATATGCTTTCCCCAACCCTAGATAATGACTACAAATGAACATTAAAAACATGGCTTCAGCACTAATGTAGGACTGCTTCTCTTATCTTGTTCTGTAAATCAACTATAGTATCTCAATATGTGGTTCAGATACAGCTACTACCCTTAATAGATAACATCCCAAAATATTATCTCCAGCTTTTCCAATAAATTACAGCTTTCCATAAACCTACAACCTTTTGAAACTTTTTGAAACTCATAGCAGCATGATAGGCAAGTGAAGGTTATGGCCTGTTGGCCTATTATGTCATAATATTCAAGACCTGAAAGTTAATATCCACAATCTGGGTAAATAAAGTGAACAAAACAGATTCTGATAGCTTATTTTGAGCAATGAGCTTGATGATAGTTTATTAGAGTTTATAAACATTTAGGCCGCCTAAGGAAGGCAGTGGTAGGGAGCACAGCCGTTAAAGTATACAGAATAAAAATCTAAATCTAAAAAAAGTTATGAAACTCACAAACGGAGTATTGATTCACTATCAGTATGAATTCATAGCAAAGTCCTGGTGGTTTTCTAGATTATATCCCTGTTTAAAACAAGGAGACTTCTAATTCTAAACTTGCATTTGCAAAAAAAAAATCTCACTAAGCCTTAAAGAAATCAGGAAGAAGTTTCCTTTTGGAAAACCACATTCAGATTGTCTCTGGATTTTGTGAAAATATACGGAGCTCCTTGACTTCATGAGAACAAGCATGACACACAATTTCCAATGTTCAGTTTCCATGGAAGCAACTACAGAATAATTTGGAACACAGAGGGGAGAGGAAAAAGAAACAACAGAAATGATACATATCTTGATATGCGTACTTTGATAATGAGAAATGTCTCAATAACACTATTTAGTGATTGAATAATTCAGAACTTGGCAATTAGGATAATGAATGAATCAAAGATAATTACACTGAAAGGACATGTTCTGCTTTTTGGTCTTTGTGATCTTAAATCTCATTTTAATCTAGTGAGAGTACAAGGAAGGAAGAACCATACGGCAGCCTAATTCAATTCTCTTTCCAGCATACTCGAAATATTAACATGACATGAAAGTCTGAACTATGCAATGTTAATACAGTAAATAACAGAATTATAATTCTGAAAACTGATCTTATGTTTAAATACTGTATGTTGCCTCTTTTCTAAAAACATGGGATGTACACTATTATGCCTCATTAATTTCAACATATGTTGATATGCTAAGAATGCCTGCAATTTAACTCTGCTTTATTTTTATTTTTAATGAGCCAGTTCAATTCAATGACAATCTCTGAACTATTTTTTTTTTTAACTTCAGTTTTGTCCAACAAAATTGGCTCAAGGACCCAGCAAAACATAGGCTCAATTTGGGTGACTTTGGGTCAATCATTCCCTCTTAGCCCTACCCACCCCACAGAGCTGTTGTGGGAAAAATAGGAGGAAAAAGGAGTCTTAGATATGCTTGGTTTATTTTTTAAAAAGTAAAGGTGGGATATAAATAAACAATTAATAAATAAAAACAAGCACTATCCCAATAGATAAATATTCCATTTGAATTAATAGTTGGTGAGAAAACATGTATTAAATTTCTTATCGACTGATCACCTCAGAACAACTAGTTCACACATTCGGTCTGCTTTATTTCTAAATAAATAAAGCATTCTCTCTCTCTCTCTCTCTTTATACATACATATACATATACATATATATATATATACATATATATATATATATATATATATATACACACACACACACACACACACACACACACATATAAGGTAACATATTTTAAAGTATTCACCACTGTTGTATTCTTGCCTATCGTCTTGGAACTCAAGATGGCCTTTGTGTGGATCTGTCATCATTTTATCTCCACAGCGATAAAATGAAGCAGAGAAACCATAAAATGAAATGAAATGATAAAATGAAGCAGAGAAACCAACAAATTCCATATAAAACATTTCACACAAACTTAAATGAAGACCGTGAAACCATGTCATAGGACAAATAGGCAGAAAACCAGCAGTTGGTATCCACAAAGACCGCAACTGTGATTTGTCTTATTTTTCAACAGCTGCATATGCCACCTTCTCCCTCAAAGAGGCTGACAATGCATGGGCCCAACTGGAAATCATGAATGAAGACAAATATTGCATTTCCCAGTATAATTTGAAGGACCCAATCTGGGTCGGTTACTAGGACCAGAGCTTTAGTCTTCCGAGCTTTGGGCTCATATTGGAGGCCATCCTCACCAGAATATGTCATTAAGAGTAGGACTCCCAGGTCCTAGTCCTGTATCTCCATCCATACTATCTCATCGGTAACTCATCGTCAAATATGAAATAGCTGTGCATTTCTTAATGATCATTTGTGCTGGTAACA